TGTGATTCGCGAACTGAAAAAATTGATTTATGTTATTTCAAACATATCATTAGCCAATGTGAAAAGTAAATGTCCAAGGACAGAGCTACATACCACAATAAAGAAAACCGCCCAAATAACTATGAACAAGGCATACAACGGAAGAAGAAAGTTATCGTCCACCGTTATACCAGGATTTCGCCAAAAGTAAACAAAAATACCGAACACAGACGGAATGCACAATGCCCATCTAAAATACGACATCCAAGCGAAATAGAAGGCAATTTCCTCGCCTGAAAAAAAAAAGGGGAAAAAACACGAAAAATATATAACAATATACATGCCGGCATGTCTTTCGTTTACAATAATAACAAACACAAGCGACCGTTATATATATTATCGTGGGCCGTGATCTTCATGCAGTTCAAATAGGTATAAACATTAGTACATTAGTTATTATAGGCATAGCGTTGTATATACTAAGTAAGGAGACGAGGTATTTAATGGGTCATATTTGTCCATAGAATTTTCTTTATAGGTAATCGACATTTGAAATATAAAATTCCAAACTATTTGTGGTTAAACACATGCACCTGTGAAAACATTGCTGCGGAAACAAGATTTGTTTCTAACAAGAAAAAGTGTTTCTTCGAGACTCAGAAACATTCAATCCTTATTTCCCAAGTATGATCTATATTTGGAAAATATTTCACAGTTTCTATACCTTTTTCTGAACATTTTTGTAATGTTCTCGCATAGGAAACACCCATTGAGGTTTCCATCCGTTAAGATATAACGAAAAGCGCTCCCTATCTCTGATTACGCGTCCAAAAACGTCGCAAACCTGTTGACATTTTTGTGTCAACCACAACGATTGGACTAGAGCGGCCGGTGCCTGACAATTTGTCATCGAAAACGTTTACAGTATAGAAAGAAGATTTACCAAAGTAATCTCTAATGTCATCGACAGGACATTCAAACCAATTTTTTTTCATGTTTTGCCATAGACTGTCTTTTTTCTCCTTGTTATGTAATGCTTGAACAGCTTCGATTATTAGTGGTTTGCTGTGTTGTAATGCAACCACTAAACTCTCTTCAATCCCGCAAAGCTCCACTTTGTGCCTTGCCAAAGATATCTACCAAGTGAAAATGAGTGAAAACTAGAGCTCTTTCTTCCAGTAAAGTTAAAATAACAAAATTTGATCACAATTAAACCCCGAACGAAGAACGCACCGCTCTTGTAGTAAGACCAATGATACATGAATAAACAAGCAAAGACTTCTCTGCGGGTGTGAAAAATGTCTCTTGATCTTCAATTCCTTCGAAGTCGTGAATAAATTCTGAAGACATCTCTTGCATTATCTAGAGGCAAACGAGGACAATTTGGACAATTCAATTAATTGTAAAGCAATTTAATTACCAGCGAAGCCGAAGGGCTACATGCAGATGTGAAATTAAAAGTGAAACGTTAAGCCTTGAGCCCCGTTTACACTACACTGAATTTATCGGCACGGCACGGCTAAATAGGTACCCGTACCCAATTTTATTAGTGTTCAGGCTACCAAAACAAAGGCCGAGTACAGATGAAATGGGTACGGATGTCCATTTTAGCCGTGCCGTGCCAATAAATAGAGTGTAGTGTAAACGGGGCTTTTGTCTTAATTCGACTAGAAAGACGAATAGTGCAGTCACAAAGTTTAGAATACATGACTGAGCCTGAGACCATATACCGGTTGCTGGTATGAGTATGATCACATTGTGCAAAATACGCAGTAATTATTATTCCGTTTAAACTTAAAGGATCAAAGCAGTCCTGACTAGTGTAATGCAGTGACCAAATGTCATACAGTGGCCGGGCTAAATAAAGACATTAGTAATGGAATTAACTGGAGCCTTTCAACGATTGAACAACGCAAAGGCTATATATAGCATTAGCGATTTTAATAGTCAAAACAGGTTTCGAACACGCCAAAATTCGGTTTTCTGATTATCATGAAACGCCTTTTTCCATGGAAGCATGCTATTTTCTGTGTCTGAATTTTGTGGCACTACTTAAAAGTGCAAAATTTAGACCATAATTATAAAAAGGCCATGTAAAGTGCTGCCGAGACAGAGTTTCTTAAAAGCAGTGTGTAGCTATATATAAAATTAAGATTCATGACGGCACAGTGAAATATTCGCATCAACAAGACTATGAGGTATGTTTATTGTAGCTTGTCGGTTTATATTTTCGGTTGATGAAAGAATAAGACACGGTGAAATTTGCGACTGTAAGATCTCAGCCGCCGAATTTTGAGAACAAAAGAAAAGGTGGCAAACAAAATACTAATTCACAAAAACTAATGTGGGGCCAGTGGGGGGCAAAGAGAAACTAAAGTGGGGAATACGAATGAATCAAAATGAAATGGTGGTCTATAGATAGAATGAAAATACAAAAAAAAACTCAAGGTACTACGAAAGCTATTTTTTGTTGTTGATTGGCTTTATTTGATACATTTTTGGAAGCCATTGCCTGCAGTTGGCGCCAGCCTGTCTAGTCATGGTTTTCGAATTTGAAATCTAGAACAAGTCCGCACAACAGAGTCAAATTAATGCGTACAAGAAGTCCGTTGGTGTAGAGCATTGTGAAAATGCCGTAATTTCTTTCGTTTTATACACAAATAAAGTTTTATCGAGTCGCACAGTTTTTGCAATAACTGCAAACGCAAAGCCACCGAGAAAAACCGAGAAGGCAGAACAAAATCATATCAAATAGTCCAAGGGCAAGAGGTATGTAATCAACACAAAATATAAACGCTTCGTAAATCGTTAATATTATGTCAATTCTCAATGTTCCCACGTTTATTTTTATACATTGTCTTTAGCAAAGCTGCGCGCAACTTACTTTGCCTTAATTCCTTAATTAGGGTATTTATTTAACAAATGAAAACAGCACACACTTTGTAAATCGTAACAATTCAAAGATAAAAGCGCATTTTTTCAGTCATCTAATGGATAATTCACATTTAAGTCATTCTAGCGCGCCTAAAGGAGAGCGCTCAACCATGCATTCACTTAACTGTACGTACAAAAAATACGGCTCATCAATGTGCACATGATTGTGAATAAAATGGGATTACCTACCACAATATCCTTTCCTTTTTTTGGTTTCCTAATGCCAAGTTCAATGGCCTAGTGGGAAAATACAGACCAAACTCAAAACACAGTCATATAGTTTTCAATTTTCATAACAAGACAACAATTCATAATATTTTGAAAATATTATTAGGTATAGAATTAATCATGCAAACAAGAAGTGCATGGTACATTATGACAGAGGCATGGAAGGAGCCAGAAAATATAAAATCTGATAAAATCTGAAAATGTTTAGAGATATTTAGCAACATTTCAAGGTGGTAACTAACATAGTAGGATCGTGTATGATGTCGGAGACTCGGAGATAGGTTTACCAGTACACATACGAAAGGATTGTATAGTCTTTTCTTTGAATTCATAAAAACTATTTTGTACTGATTAAATGTTGGAAATATTTTTCACTGTCCTGGCGAAATAATAGACCTTTCTTAATTATAATGACGTCAAACGCGGAAGTCTGATGTCACATGAAATTTAATTGGCTCCACAAAACTATTGAGCCAATCAAACTTTGTGTAACATCAGACTTTCCGCATTGATGTCATTATGAAAAAGGTCTATATTGGTCTGAAACTAGGTCAGACAACAATTGTTGAGCTAGGTTCTGCATGTTGACCTTAGGTGATTGCAGATAATATACAATCATATATTATTTATTTATTATATATATTATATATATTATATATATATATATATATATATTTATATACACCCATTTGCAAAAACGTTGGCCGCAGATAGATAGATAGATAGATACTCGAAGTCTAATTAGAATTACATATGATTACATTTGCATGGGATTTCTATAATATTACACAATATATGCAATTCTAATTAGATTTCGAGTATCTATCTATATATCTATCTGCGGCCAACGTTTTTGCAAATGGGTGTATATATATATATTATATATATTATATATATATTATATATATATATATAGTGATAAAAAATTGATCATGTATTTATTAGGCCAAAGAAAGCTAATTATAAGGTAAGTTATGTGTAGTAATACCGTCTCCTACTTATTAAATATATGACACCAATGATCCTTCCTGTCTCAGATTGTAGCAATTAATGTCAGCTAGCTCATTGGAAGAGTAATTGGGTGAGTTTCATCTTGAAATTTACCCAAATTAATTTGTGAATGCAAGTTAAATATTAAAATATATATTCTACACAATAAGAAAATTTCAAACAGGAAACTAAATAATATAAATTATATTCAAATAACAACTCTACTATAAAGTATGAATGAATGTTGTACCTTATTAACAAGACATTCAAAATTGGCTCCTATATAAACCGCATTCTTCCCTTCATAAACACTTTCACATTGCAGTCCTGCAGCTTTGAAGCAATCTATCAGCTTTGCACTGAGTTTGGTAGAACAATGCTCTGTGAAAGTAATGCAATATTCCATGATATTATCTCAAAGCCTAAAGCCACATATGATGATGACCACACATTTATCATAGGAAACTAGGATGGCTTGGAGTAAAATTGCTTTGGACGGGGGGGATACTAATTTTTGGCGAAAAAAAATGAAAAAGAAATCAATATGGCGGCGAAAATAGGAGTGCGTTCCCTATTTGGTCCATATTTTAGGCGATTAAACTTCATTGCTCCTATACCGAAGCTGTTTTTTGGTCTGGAGAGTATTCCAAAACAAAGATATGTCTATACTACACCAGCGTCGCAAGGTATTTCATATTTTAACGATATAAAGCGTACGTTTTCCAGAGATGAGAATATCGTTGTGACGTTGTTTGAACTTGTTTCACAACTAAATTTCATTTCCAATGTTTTAGTAATACGGACATTTTGTTTTTTATATGCTGTATCTCAGGTAATGCTGTTAGAAGGGAAGAAACTAAAATAGAGAAGGCTGTGTCAGGATGCCCAATTTGCAGTAGAAATTTAAAATTTACATACAAGGTACATATGTATATATAATTATAATATAATGTAAAGTGGATTGTCATTCAAAGATGCATCAATGATGGTATTGATTGTCCTTGTTCTCTTGGTAGGATGTTTTATTGCTCGCCCAGTTTATTTCTCCTGAAGGACATATTTTAAACAGGCGAGTAACAGGTAAATGATAGAATTTTGCTATAAAAATAATAACATTTTGGTGTACATCTATGGTGTGAACATGTTCTGCAGATGTGTACATATGTTCCATTTTACATTTGCTTGTTATGTCTACTCAGGTGTGTGCAGAAAGCAGCAGAGAAAACTGGAAAAATCAATTGAAATATCAAGAAGAATGGGTTAGTATTAACAAGATTACCATAATTAGCTTGGTATTGATTCAGTAAGGTATATTAATATGAATTATTTTGACTGCACCCAGCTTGCCATATTTGCATAATGGTATAAGGATAGTAAGAGTGACAAAACTTTCTGCTTAAATTTAAATTTCTTACTATTTTAAAGGTTTAATTCCGAGAAAACCTCCTGCTCTAATTCAGAAAGAAAATCAAATGGCATAACAATGTGCAAAATCAATAACAGAGTTGTACCAATGATGGTGTTAAAAGACCTAAGTACTGAGAAAATGGTTTAATACTGCTAAACATCATGCTGTGAACAAATGAAACTATTTCACTGACCATGTGCTGACTACATCTCCATTCTCAAGCCAAATATATGAATGAACCTGGTATTTAGCCTCTCCACAATTAGTCACTGTGAACATGGAATAAATACCAGTTTGCAAAAATTATTACTAACAATTACACTAAGAAAATAAATCTGTTTTGCAGAGAAAGCCTAAAATTGGTTGCAACTTGTGTGTTTGTTGACTTTCATGAATGTTGACTGTGTGCATAGACAGGTTGCTTTTACTCTGTCAAACAAAAATGTGAACATAAAGCAAGAATGTATATATTTACATGAACTTTGAGCTTGCTTTTATATATCACTGTACATTATTCTTACATTATTGATGAAACCTTCCAAATAGACTTGACAAACAATTAGTGTGCAAAAAGTAAAATATGCGATAACTGCAGTAGTTTACAGCATGAATGGTAAGTCCAAATTCTTCTCCCCTGTGCCAACATAGACACAGCCAAACTTTCTTGTCTCTGGTACATGGTAAAATATGAAACCAAGCCAGTGTAGACTACGTATGGTGACCAAACCACAGCCTTTCTCGTACTGGACACTCCATGACCCTGGAGGAATTGAATGTATTTCATTATAAATATCAACCATATTTTGCCCAACCAGACGAATTGGACTGTTTGGACAATTACTGTAGATCTCAAAGTTAGGTAGTAAATAAATAGAAGTGTATATAGATTGATTCAATTCAGTGCCTACACTAGATTGATATATACACATTTCTTACCTCCTTTTGGGATATCTGCATCAATAGGATCCAAAAAATCAATAGATTTGTCCAGAGAAGCCTTTAGAACAGAAAATATGAACATTTGGTGCGTGATTAGGCGAACACCAGTTATGATACCATTTTGTTTAGATATCCATTTTTTCGAATGAACAATATTGGTATATACATTAGCTGTGTGTCGTGTGATCAAAATCCCACCTTAATATTTCAGTTTTCTGTCAACTATTCAGACTATAGCTGAGTTATAAATTACTATGGGGAAATACCTTTTGTAGAAGAGTCTTTTGATTCAGAAGAATAGGTTCACGAAAATGAAAGTAAGAACAAAGTTTTCCTGCATCTGGTATTGAAAGTCCTGAAAATATACAGTGTCAGCTATCATTATATATGTTTATCTTAAAATTGCATTTTACTGACAAACTGGAACACTATGTCACCAACTGTACAATTATATAGCGCAAAAATGACCATGATATCAGAAACTAGAAAGCAAACCTTCAAAACTTCTGTTGCCATAGATATCACCATTTGCAGCTCTGAGGAATGCACTCCGAGGCACGATAGAGACATCATAATTTATTGATGCTATTACTGTTGCTAATCTATCTTCCTCTTTTACAAGCACCTACAAAAAATGCATTAAAATTATTGGATCAGCAACCTATCACTCTGTCACTGTAAATGCTAGCTTAAATCAATCAAATAAAAAAATATAATGGCTGAAACTGGTGCAAGAAATAATGGTCAGACCAATAATTATCAATATTTATATTCAACATCTCTCTGTTTAAAGTTTAGTGTTCGCAAAATTACTTACTGTGGTCTCTTCGTCCTGGTCTGGATCAGAATCTCTGTCATCATTTCTCTTGCTTTCTGTATGTTCATATTCGTACGAAGGATCCCCTGTGAATCTTCCTTTCACAAACGAGCACTTTTGTCTCATCTCCTCTGTTACTTGAGGCAGGATGCCCCATTTTACACAATCCACACTAAAATGCACCAAAAAATATTGTACCTATTAAGATATACAGTATGTACACAGTCATATACAAATCAGTTTTCAACTATTATATAATATATATACATAGTTAATTGACATGCACTAGCTAGCTGTCTAGTGTTTTGTGATATTATATATGATATACATATAAATGATATAAATGATTACAAATGCAATCTCGAGGGTCGAAGCATTGATGCTTTAAATAATAGTAACAGATTTGTATACTAGTATGTGAGCTAACTACAGCTAATAAACATGATCATTGACGAATAGTAGCTAGCTATTACAATAATCTGACAATCAGGCATATTAAAGCTACAGAGAATTTCAAAATTTATTTAAACATTAAAGCCACAAGCGTAGGTTATATTTTTAGGTTTATTTGCTTGTATTCGTCTACTGTAAACTGCATTTTTACCTGTATAAAATCTGCCTGTCTCTCAATTCATCTTTGCCAATTCCTTCGACGATGAAATAGTCATCTTTTACCCCAAGAATTTTACCCCAAAACAAAACTCTTTTAAACTTGTAGTTGTTTTTTAGGATAACCAGCGACGACTGGAAGGCAGCCTTCTGCTCAGTGCTCAAAATAACCCCACTACTTCCAACATAATCGATGTTTAAATGCAGACCTTCAGCGTCCATGACTGCCTTTCTTGCTTCTTTTCTGATTGTGACTACGCGGTTGCTTAGCAACGCCAGAGAAATTCTCCCACAATATTACCGGACATTTTTGGTGACAAAATGGTCCACTGTTATAAAATAGCTTAGTATTTAGTAAAATGAAATCCTTGACGATTGACAAAACTCAAAATACATTCTCAAATTTCATTCAATTTTTCATGCCGAAGACTCAGTTGCTGCCCGTCCACGGCATAATCACAACGCTTATGTGCCTCAATCACATGACCAGTGACGTCTATTGACTGTATTATTTGACTCATTAGCCAAAAACTCAAAAAGGATAAATTGGTTTTAAATCTTTATCTGATAATCCAAATCATATTCTGAATCATATTTTGAATTCATATTCCGGCTTTTGTTGTCACATCCAAATACGGCTTTACACCATCCGTGGAGTAGGAAGTTTAGTTTCCTCCAGGAATTTCATAAACAAACATGCAACTTGCAGATTGACAACAACTCTTGTCTTTTTTCTAAAGTAAATCATACATCATTGGTATCTGTTTGTTTCTTGGCCACTGGCGAAATGTGTCATATCTAAGACGCCGTCGTGACACAGATGCCTGCTGCTATTATGTTTTTTTCTGTTATCTTCCTAGTCTTCTGATCTCTGAACATGCTAAGCAGAAAAAAAAGAATGGACAGATAAAATCATAAAAATCCCGCCGATAAAAGGCGCCAGTTGAAATGGGATCAATCATCAATTATCAACGCCCATGCACGTCTAGGAAATTAAGAATGCCAAGACACGCCCCAGAATATCGGGGGGGGGGAGCTAAGTTCCAAATTCAGACAATCACAAAACCGGAAAAATATTTATCGTCGAAGAGTTGCAAACTTTTAGTGATGTTTAAAGGCATTTGATGAGTTTTTCAGTAGCAAAGGAGCCCGGATCTTTATCCAGTCCGAAAAAGTTGGCGTTCTGGCTCAGCAAGAAGAAGAAATACAAGCTCAATTTCGAGAGCTTCTTAACATTATGCAGGTCAGCCGATCAAACCTAGTCGGTGTTGTTTATATTTTTATGGTAATGCGTCGGGCCTGTTGCCTTTTAGGTTTAACGTTTAATGCTCTCTTTTACGCATTATTTAGCCAAGCTGGATTCGAACTCATCGAGGTATTTAAACGATTTCAATCTTTTCAAATGCTTTATGTATTATTACTATAGAACTTTGTTGTATTTTGCCCTCTCGCGTGCACTTGGATCAAAGCTGTGTCACCTGATCCCATCGGTAATAGCTATTTTTTGTTTAGATAATGACCCCTCCAAACAACGGCTAGACAATCGTTAAGCACAATCAAAATATTATCGGACTAACTATTTCGCAGTTTCATTTGCGATACAAAATTCTCGAGCTAATCCTCATCCATCTAGATTTCCGTTTTTGCCATAGTTTTGCCTCGTCATAAAAGGTCTTTATTTGCCAAATACGCAATACCCTTGATGATTAATAGACATTTTTTCAAAATTTCGACGAGTGGACATTGAAGAGTGCTTAAACTGAACCTATCAATGTTATCTGATATCACCTGCTAGCTGCCATACTATTATTGCGAATGAATGTTTGGTCTAGTTTACTGTTCATATCATCTGAGCCAACAATGTTTCACTCAAATTACAGTTGTGGACTACCTGAAATTTATGAAAGAGACTTTAGCCATTAAGTAAAGACCCTTGGTTTAATAGATGAATAAAAAAAATGCAAATCAAACTTCAAGATGAAAGGGCTTTGCTTGTTCAAAATTTTGAAATGAGCAGACACTCTATCTGGAAACTAGTATAATTTGTTAATCAGAATCAACATGTCTTAACAATAAGGCCCTGGAATATTGAAGTTCTTTGGATTATCAAAGAACTTAAAAAATATATCAAAATTTGATGTATTTTATATTACTGCATGGGTGCAACTCAACATTTGTGATAATTTTACTCAATGTCCTGCTGGTGGTAACAAATATTAGGCTCACTATATCATCAGGTAGTGTCAAAATATTATACTACACAAGCAAACATTTTGCTAGTTGATTGGCAGCTTGTCATAAAAATGTGTAGCACATTGCATAATTTAACCTGACATGCACTGACACATCATCAGCTCATGTCTATACCTTGGATATTATATTATTCAACCAAAATGTTTGTGATTTCCACATAATAATGCATACAGTTGTCACTTACTGTATGTTGGTTGCTACCTGGACATATTTTAGATCGATTTATCAAAGCCATGGATAGACGAATGTCATGTGGATGTCCTGATTCATAAAGTTACAGATTTCATTGCTGCTGCGGAGAATGGGGACTTACAAGCATTTAAAGCAGTCCAAAAAATTGAGGTGAGGCAAATTGATATTTTGGCATAAGTTAAAAGAGCTTGGAACTATGTCCAACATAGCATATGACTTTTGTTTTCAAAGCACAAAGTAACATTTTCATATTGTTTTTTGTAGACATTCATTGCAGATCACCCTGAAGTTGTGGTCATTGACCCAGTAGAATCTGTCCGTCTTCTCAGTGATAGATCTGCTTATTATCCTATTATGAGACAGTGTGAAATTAAAGATGAAGGTACAGCACTCAGTCCAGCCTTGTTAGCTATGTTGTGCATCTTCACAATGCACAGTTGTCATTCCAGTTAGGTGTCAAGGAGTGCTCTATCGATCTACATACCTTTTTATTCTTTGAAAACCATTGAAGTCTTCGCTGTATGGAAAGCTAAATTAGGCACTTGCCATGCCTTGTATGTTCTCAAATTAATGCTTTTACTCCTTGCTGCTTTTCAGATGGTGAAGCATTCATACCCAATTTTGTTAGTCTTGAAAGTGCAGACAGGAAAGCCAACATGAGAGCATTGCATCTTGCAAATATCAAGTTTCCTTTTAGTAAGTTGCTCTATATTACAGGCTTTAGCCACTAAATAATTTGCATTGCAGGGCCTAATTAGAGATCCTGCATGGACTCTACCCCAGTCTTCTGTCACTACACTCCCATCATTCTCATATTTCCCCCCATTCTTCACTGTCACATACCTTCCCATCGTAGCCTTGTGAACTAAAAAAACCCATTTTTAATCTTGTTGTGGTCAAAGCATTTAAGGCCTGTTTATAACTTTCCATTTAAGTATGCAAGACAAATGTCGCACATGGCTCAGATGAATCCCATGAGGTAGTGAATCCACTATAAAATATACGGAGTCTATCTGTACTGACTACTTCAGTTTAATATAGAAGTAAAGGTGTAAATACACTTCAATGATCATGAAATTATGTTCAAAGCCAAGCTGAGCTTATACCTTGGTCTTTAATGTGAATATTATTTTTTTGAAGTACCCAAAACAAATTGTTTTTCATAACAGATGAGTATTATATTCAATGAAGAAGGTCTGCAAGACATCACCCCACCATGTGTCTGTCAGGAATTTGTTAATCATAATGCCATTTTATACAAGGTGAAGATTTGAATATTCCTTTTCCCGTTCAGGGCCACACAGGTTTTTAATAAAAGTTTTTATCAATCATTAAGATGTACTTCAGACTCGTCTTTGATTGCTGTTTGCTATAGCACACGTACAAACATGACACTTTAAAGTTTAGATTCCAACCTGAACAATATAAATGAAGATTGTGGCATAATTAAGCCTCTTTTGCATCCGTCAGAATGATAATTGCATGCAACTTGTCGTGTAGTCTAAATAGGCCTTAAGCAGTGGCCTAAAGTAATGTTTAACGTCCTCACACCTGACGTCATTATAAACTTTGAGTTGAGAAAGAAGCCAAGATGGCCGACAATTCATTAGTTAGGTACAGTGGTTAGGCAACACGTTGCTTCTACCCAGCTATTAAACTCCTAAAGCTAAGTCCTAAGATGATATACAAAGACCAAGGAAGATGTGGAATTTCTGTAACGAGATTTTCTGCATTCTTCAAATGTTTTTTCGAATTAAATATTGATGTTTTTGTTGCCATTTCCTGTTAACTTGTAACTTACCGATTTTTTAAAACATTGAATGTGGAAACGAGACTAGTAGTTTACTAAAAGCAAGACTAGAGGATTGAAACCCAACTTCTACTTATTGAGAAATGTGCACAACTTATTTCCCAATGTGAAATAGTTTTCATCAATGTGATTTTTCGCATTGCCGGCCCGGTTCGTCACTATCACGTGATATGCTCTCGACCAATAAAACAATAGACAAGGAAGACTTTCATTTTTAGTATACCCTATAACAGTTATTACTGATTTAGGCACTAATAATTGGAAGGAAAATATTACTCATGCACTTGCAAAATATTCTGTAGGTTTTTGTTATTGGAAACAAACATTACATTAGCGAAAGACCTTCAATCAAAAATCTGCAGGCTGGAGGTAAAAAGTTAATATAAGGATAATTTATGTATCACAGATACATAGCCACATACACAGTCTTCGTGTACTTACACGCGACTTCTTAAATAGAAAAGCTTATTCCTAAATGGGAAAAAATGGTTCCAATTTTGGGCCCAGAGATGGTACCAACTTTCTCACGCAATAGAATAAATTGATTTCAATTTTACACGATGTGCTTATTTTGGTATTTCAGTCTGCTTAACACCAGTCGATTTTACTTATGCTTGAACTCAAACTTCAGTAAATTTCTCAAAGCTATTTGACTCGGGATTTTTTCTTTCAGACTTTCAAACAATATTCTTCCACAGCCACGACGTCTCTAAGCCAAACTCCTCTTCCTTTCTTAACCAGGTAAAAGTTTTGTCTGGGAATATCATATTTCATTATATTTCTGATGTTTTCTGATCATATTTTGATTTTTTATAGTTGGAAAAGCCCATACTCAAGCAATCACCTCCTGACGAAAAAGTCGTTAAAAAACTCGTAGATATACTTAAAAGACGAATGGTTAGTTTGTGCGTGTTTCTAAAATTGCAACTCCAAACCAATTCTGTACAGCAAAATCTGAAGTTTAACTTTAATTTGTATTCCTGTTAGCGTTTAACCCTATTTGGTGTTGACGTCATCGTTGAAAGAAAATCCAGACGAATTGGGGTTATCGATATAAACTATTTTCCAGGTAAAGAAATGATAGTTTTCTGTAAATACGATCAAGCAATGGCCGTGGTTGCATTACATACATCAAATATTTATTCCGTTGAACTATGTATAGTTCAAGAACTATATATATAGCTTATAAGAGAAAACATACTCCGAAAATAAACATCTTGTAAA